CGTTGATTTTTTGAACTATGCTTCCATGAGCCTTTTTTTTTTGAAAAAGAGTCGAGGTAAGCTTTTATCCAAATCAAAAATTACGTCAAATGAGCCTCGATGAGCTATTTTCAAAATCAATATTTTAGTCAAATGAGCTTTGACGTAGAGTTGAAAAATATTGAATGAGCCTGCTTCATGGGGAGCTTACGTAAACTTAAGCTTATGACTGAGCTTTTTTCGGAACCCTAGTGCAAATTTAATCCCTCGCATCGACCTCTTCGGTGTATTCTATTCTAAATCCGTAACCAGATCAATTTGAAAATGCATATTTTTCTTTATCAACATTGAGAAACAGTATTCTAAGTAATTCAGCTTTTTTTGACTAGTTTCTCTGAAACCTTGATCTAGTCTGAAAAAACTCCTTTGAATATACCGGAAATTGAATCAAACATTCAAGCTTTCTAGTTTCAGGCTTGCTTTAACCTCCTTCCGTTACGTTTTTGACACAACGAGGAACATTTTTGATCATAAAAGTGGCTTCTATGAAGTAAAGGATAAATGACAAATTACAAAGAAAATCACTAAGTTACTATTGATGAAAATTCACAAGAACAAAGATTAACTGTATGAAACTGTGAATTTTAAAAGTACCGACACTTCTACTCTACTCAAAAGATAAACGGGATTACCTTTATCATTCACGAAACCAAAAAATGAAATACATGAAACAGAAGTTATAACATGAATTTATCATCATTAAGATTAGCACAAGTCTGGTGACCGCGCTCTACCGCAGAAGAGAAGAAGACATTCGAAAAATCGTCATACATTTATTTTAAACGATAATTTTCCCATATATATTTAAACATGTTTTTTCGGGAGTTTCTCGTTATGAATAGGCATTTTCCAGAATAAAAACAGACATTTAATTTTTGAAGAAATTCACAAATATGCTCATGGGTTCATCGAAGATTTTTCAAAAAAAATTTTCGCTCCGAATTGTGACAGACCAATTCAATATTGCTTCAACCGGAAAGTTTATGGAAAGTGCCAATTATCTGGGTGCAAAAGATTGTCGATGGTCAAATGCGCGTATTGTGCCAAGAACATATGTTTCCAGTAGTTTGTCATCGAATGCCAACGATGTGTTTAGTTTTTCCTCAACTGTTTTTTCAATTTAAAAAAAAACAAAAAAAATTGAAAAAAAATGTTTTGAAAAATCTTCGAAAAATCTACCCATGAGCATATTTGTGAATTTCTTCAAAAATTAAATGTCTGTTTTTATTTTGGAAAATGCCTATTCATAACGAGAAACTCCCCAAAAACATGTTTAGATTGCGTAAATTTTATTCCAGAGCCAGTTATGGCAGCTTAAAATAAAACAAAAAAAGTTTTGCAAAATTTTTGGGATCGGGAGAATCGAACCTACAACCTTCCTCCTCTGAACTTGCCATTTTACCACTTTACCACTGATTGAAATCTATTGTTTGCAAAGAAATACACTATTCCGTGAAAAAAATTTTTTTTAAAGATTTCCCGAAACGTAAAAGATTATTAAAACATGGAATTTCGAAATTTTGTTCAATAAGTCCAACGCGCCAAACCCCAATTCTCCCAACATATTTGAAACATCATCTCTTTTTTTTTTAAATATCTCTGTAACGCCATGATGTGAGGTCTAGTCTGGAATTGAACTTTGATTATAACTGGAAGACCGGAAGTTGAGTGTGGCGATAGACTTTTCAGTTTCAGAGCCGACTTCCGCCCCGTATCCTGTTTTAGGATTCAAGAAATGAACTTCCATTCGTGAATATGAAGTGTAACTAAAAAATTCACAGAATAAACACATCTTCTTGAAAGAGGAGGGTAATATGAAATTGGAGAAACAGAAAAGTTGTGAATCATCAAAGAAATTTTCTGAAAGTGGTGCTGAAAAAGAAGTTCGAAAAATTGGGTCATGACCCAGAAAATTCCAAAATCTAGATTCAAAATCAGATTATTTGGATCATTTGGAAAACAACTGTCTTTCAAGTCAAATGAATTTTAGATTCTGTTTAATTTTTTATATGCCATCACCTTATTTTTTTTTCTAGGTCATGACCTAATTTTTTCTAGGTCACGACCTAATTATTCTAGCTCACGACCTAATTTTTTCTAGGCCATGACTTAATTTTTTTCTAGGTCACGACTTTTTTTTTCTAGGGCACGACCCAATTTTTTCTTGGTCACGACCCAATTTTTTCTAGGTCATGACCTAATTTTTCTAGATCACGACCTATTTTTTCTAGGTCACGACCCAATTTTTTCTAGGTCACGACCCAATTTTTTCTAGGTCATGACCTAATTTTTCTAGGTCATGACCTAATTTCTTCTAGGTCACGACCTAATTTTTTCTAGATCGCGACCTATTTTTTCTAGGTTATGACCTAATTTTTCTAGGTCATGAAATAATTTCTTCTAGGTCACGACCTAATTTTTTTTTCTAGGTCATTTTTAGCCCTATTTTTTAGAATTTTGTAGGTCACAAAAATTGAGATCATGAGTTAGAAAACTCGAAAATTTCTTTAAAAATTAAGTTTAAAAACTTGAGCAATATGATTGCGCCCATGTGGTTTATTGAAGGCTAACTTTGAGCTCAATTATCTTGGTTCCTATAAGCGCTATCAAAAAACTTGCCAATTGATAAAATTTTGGTGATATTATGATGAACATTTCGTTAGTTGACAGTTTTTTGATATTTTCTACAGGGAATGAGATTTATGGGCTCAAAGCAAAGCTTTGCAAAAAATGATTGGTAATGGCAAAACTCCCCGAGCGCATAGATATATAAAACTGAGGAAACAGAAAAATTTGAAAGTTTATTCATTAAATGCTCCAGTTCCATTTCTCCCAACTTATTTGAAACATCAGTTTTTTTTTTCAAAAATATCCATGATGTGAGGTCTAGTCTGGAATAGAATTTTGAATACAGTGCGGTCAATATCTTTAAGACCCCCATTGATTTTGAGCGCGCAGAAAAAACTAGAAGAGATATCAAAAAACTGTAAATGCCATTTGATTCACTACCAAAAATAACCCCAGGAGACAAAGTTTCATGACACTATGCCTGTCCGCGCACCATCTAAAAAACCCATATGCAAGCGGTCAATATCTTCATCGATTTCTAAAAGTTTTCTGAAAAAAAATTGTTTTCTGAAAATTCATCTCCAGCTTTTGCTGTTTTTGGGAAAGATTTCGGTTTTATGAAAAAATCCGGAGTTCTGCATGATGGAATTCAATGTAGTTTCATTTTGTTTGAAAGCTCTCTTACCCTTTTCCATTGTTTCATCATTTGAAAAATTATGATTGGCGGAACTGTCCCGAAAATCTTCTCAACGTGAGCTCCAGAACTCATCAAATGTCTCAGCTTTGAATTTAGGGATCTGTACTCATCTGAATTCGGCCTGAATCTTCTCGAAATGACTAAGGCATCAAAAGGGGGATAATAGCTTCTCAATAAAATAAAATAAATCTGAATTCCATCATGTAGAACTCCGTACTTTTCCATGAAACCGAAGTCTCTCCCAAAAACAGCAAAAATTGTGAGACGAATTTTCAGATGTCAATTTCTGATCGGGAAACTTTCAGAAACCGTTCTTACTTGATTTAAAACTATCTAAAAACAATTTTAAGACTGATATTTGATACTTCCAAAAAATTTTCTCATGAAATTTATCACTGTATCATCGAAAAATCCGGGGGGTCTATTGACCGCTTGCAAATGGGTTTTTTAGATGGTGCGCGGACAGGCATAGTGTCATGAAACTTTGTCTCCTGGGGTTATTTTTGGTAGTGAATCAAATGGCATTTACAGTTTTTTGATATCTCTTCTAGTTTTTTCTGTGCGCCTGAAATCAAGGGGGGGGGTCTTAAAGATATTGACCGCACTGTATACATGGAAGACCGGAAATTGAGTGTGGCGATAGACTTTTTTAGTTTCAGAGCCGACTTTCGCCCGTATCCTTTTTTAGGATCCGAGAAATCAGCTTCCATTCAAGAATATGAGGTGTAACTAAAACAATCCCAGGAGAGATAAAGGTGCAACAAAATTCATCTTGAAAGAGAGGGTAATATGAAATTAGAGAAACAGCAAATTTGTAAATTGTCAAGAGTGTTTCAAAAGTTTATCGAGATTTGCAAACACATAGTTCATATTTCAACTTTTCGAGGGGCCTCTGTGAACAGTGTTTCAAAAGACAATCCAAATCCAAATACAAAAAAACGGCTTCCTTAAACCCGAAAAATCTTGCTAAAATGCAAATCAACTATATAGAAGTGCCAGAAGACGATTGTGTACTAGAGAAATTCAAAAAGGAGAATAGAAACAAGAATTCTGTAACCGAAAAAATATTGGAAATAAATTTCAGCATTTTATTGTTTGAAGCATTTTTGAGGATTGGGTACATTAGAATAATAAATGTTTCGAAATTTCGAATTTCGATCCCTCCATTATTGTTTGCATCAAAATGTTTAAAATATTTGCGACTGTCCAAGGTTTAATACCTTTAATACCACTATGTTCTAAACACGTATAAAGTCTTGGACTTAAAACCGATAATTGTTTCGTTCTGGATGTTTTTTCTTTTTTTTTTGGAATAAGCAACCTTTACGGTCTAGGCTGACCGCGGCCGACCATTATCTTAATTCTGCTAACCATCATAACAAACGTCACCTTATCCTCTTCTTTTATTCTTTTCTTCATTGTTTTTCTCCCTTCTTTCCTCTAATTTTATTTTTCGTAAGAAGGCTCCAAAAATCTCATTTTCCACATCTTTTGGTCTAGTTCTTTTTCCCCCCAAGTGAATTGTTTTTTTCTTCTCCTTCCTCTTCTATATCCAATTAGAAAGCAGTCGAATATGATTGTCGAGTCATCAAGTCGGCACCATGTGACTCTATTTTCCTAGAATACTGGCTCATTAGACTTATCATTTCAAACTTCAAAAAAAGCTATCCACTCTTGATATCAAACGCTCAAAAGAATGAATGCTAGTAGTAGCTGCTCGGACATGGAAGCGATTGCCACGTATCTACCGCTTCGAATCCTTCTATTCTCATTTATCACCATCGCTGTGGTCACTATTCCAATGATAATCTATGTTATCAAAAGAATCATCCGGAATCCATTGTATCATAAAAACACAAAAGTGGTGTTGGTGGCGCATGCAATTGCTCTGATTGTGCATTTTGCAGACAGGTGGGTTTTTTGCAGTTTTCTGTTGGATAAGGGAAAACAAAAGAGGGTTTTAAAGCGAAAATCGCAATTTTCCTGTTTCGAGATCATTATAATGTGAACTGCATCAAATCTAACAGTAATCCTCTCAAACTTTCTAATTTTCATTTGAGTTCAGTTATCACGGTTTCTGTAAGGGATGCAGAAAGTTCATGAACTACAAAAAGTATGGTGATAACATGATAAGAACTTTCTCAGTTGTCAAATTTCTGATATCTCTTATAGGAATTGAGTTAATCTAGCTCAAAATATAAGTACAGTGCCTATTAGGGCATTTACTAGATATTCAAAAGTGAATGTGTACGACGAGTTGTAACCACTGAATGAGATTCAGCTCATGGAAAGATCCTTACAATTAGCGACATCATGACTCTACCGACTGCGTCACGTGGGACGTCCTCTGTCGTAGCTTGCTCTATAGAGCTGAGTTAATAACATCGCGTGTTCAAACCACTGGAACTAGAACCGTAATTGTTTCGAAGCATTCAAATCTGAAATGATAAATTTGAAACAGTACTGTTTTGGAAGTCTCACATCTCTATGAACAATTTTGAATATTTCAATAATTCGTTGCCCTTTCGACTTCAACTCTTTGCATTTTTAGAATCTAGTAAAACTATTACATTTGGTACAACGTCCGAATCCCTGAAAATTATAACATTCTGGTTATTTTTAATTCTTGTGACAGTAAATTAAACGAAAAATGATTTTCAAGTTACTATAATTGAAAATTCGACAACCTTTGAGTTAATTGTTTAACTTCTGTTGTTCATTAAAAACTCCGATTTTCAAAACCCATCTTCGAATGTTTTTGATTGTGTTATTTAAACAATCGAACGAATACTCTCAAAACTTTGTTATAGTAAACCATGCATATTTGAAATTATATAATTGAAAAGCTACTGTTTCAAATATCCCATATCTCTATAAAACATTGAGAGGTTTTGGTCGGAATGCATCACACGCATGTTGATTTTACCATTTTGCATTTTTTTTTAATAAAGTAAAAATATTGAATGGCATGCCAGTTCAGAATTCCTGACAATCATAACACTTCGTTTACTTTAACTTCTTGCAACAGTGAAAACGGAACATTTTTGTATTTCAAAGATTTGCCAGGTTTGGAAGTTATCACAATTGAAGTTTTGACAACATTACAGTCAATTTTTTAACTTCTGTCATTCATTTAAAAAAAAAACCTAGATTTAAAAAACCCATTTTTATGTTTTACATGAATTCATAAATATTCCAGCGAACAACTCTTAAATTTCTGCTCTAGTAACACTGATTTGAAACTGCGAAACTATACTTTTTTTGAAAGTTAAAGGCTGTTGGGGGACAAAAAAAAAGTTCCGTTTTTTTTCGGTGCTAGTATGCATTCCAACGTGATGGTGCATAGTAAACGTTGGTCACCCCGCCTTAGCTTACGCCACCGTAGTTCATCGTTACCTTCAACGCTGATCCCACAAGTTCAACTTCTCAAGTTGTTCAATTATCAAATTACTCTCAAAAGTAAAACTTATTCGAAACCGCAAAACTTTGTTCAGGCTCATCTTCCACGGTTGGGACCTCCACCGTTACATCATCATACTTCCCGATGTTCTATCTCCTTGCGACATCATCTCCTCATCCGAACGTTGCTTCTTCCTCCGAATCAGTTTCAACTCAGCCATGTGGTTCTGTGTATGCACCACTCCTGCATTAACCCTTGAACGATACCTGGCCACCCGGAGAACCTTCTCCTATCAATCCGACAAACATTCCTGGTCCCTGGTTCTTGGATTTCAGTTTTTGTTGACTGCGTTTCTACTAGCGTTGATTTATTCTAAACAAAGTTTTGGAGGACAAGCGTTGTATTGTATGACCGCTAGTTCCAGTCTGCCTCTACATGTGCTGGCGGTTTTTGTGATCACAATTATCATTCAATTGGTTTCCATCGGATGGTATAGACATTTGGTGAAGAGGAATGAGGTGAGTTCAAGAGATATTAGACTGGGGGTCGAACAATATCTAGCTTTGTTTACGACTTCTAATAGAAAAATGTTGAAACCGTGAAAGTTTATCGGCACCTCAAAAGGAAATTCTCAGGTATCTCCATTTTAACGTGAGATATCAAAAACCAACAATTGATAAAATGTCAGTGAAATTGTGATACCCATTTTATCAGCAAACAGATTTTCTATCTTTTATAGGGACCGAGAAAAATTTTTTTGTTTCAAAATTATTTAATAATTAAAAATTTTGTCGAGGTCTAGTTTGTGATGTATACAATTGTAAAACTTTCATTAAGACTTAAAAGTGATTTTGCACATAACAACTGCTTGAGACCTAAATAAATTATCAAAGTTTTAGATCGAATTTTAAGATTTTCTTTTTTGAAAGCCGTCTCATACGTAATTATGTATTTTGATTTAACTCATCCAGCTTTCACAGCAATTCACTGAAATTAAAACAAATGTTCTAATTCAACTTTGAGCTCAGTTATCTCAATTTTGATAAGAGATATCAAAAACCTGCGAACTACAAAGATGCCGCAAGGATTATGACAAACATTTTATCAGTTGACAGATTTTTGAAATCTCATAGGAAGAGATAATTGCGCTTAAACTTAGGTGCAGGGATGGCATTCGTAGTAGCAAAACGAAAACAGTAATCCAAGACAGAGTGCTAGTATAATGTGGGAGTCTATTAGAGCATTTACTGGGTATCCAAAATAGGATGTTTACTGCAAAAACTACAATCACTGGGGAGATTGAGCGTATGGGATAATTATTAGGGACATCACGAATTTACCGACTACACCACGGGAAAGTTAAGAGTGGTCTATCTGGCGTTTGCCGTGGCTGAGTCAGGTGTGGAAAATGTAGAAACGGAAATAGTGATAATTTCGAATCATTTAAATCTGAAAGAATATGTATTTTTGAAACGGTACCATTTCAGAAATTCCATATCTCTAGGAAAATTTTTGAATACTTCGATGGTGTACGAACTTTGTGATTCCAACTTTTCACTTTTTCTTGCAATCATGTGAAAATTCGAATGTGTGTTAAGTTGGAATTCCTGAAAATCATAACATTCTGGTTATTTTAACTTCTTGTAGCAGTATAAAAAAATTAATTTTTTTTAATTTCTGTATTTCAAAAAAACTGTCAGATTTAGAAATTACCATTCTCAACATTTTGTCATTCAGTGTAACTGGCTCTAGTAGCAGTCCTGTAACCGCGAATATTAAAAACCGCGAGAATGTCTAGAAATGTATGTCTAAACGGATGAGTAAAGTTTCCATTCATGCATATCTGAAACAATACATTTGAAACGGTACTGTTTCAAAAATCTCATATCTTTTTGAAAATTTGAAAGATTATGATAAAAAAGTAGAAATGAAATATAAATTCCAATTTTTGTTTTGGAATCAAGTAAAAAATATTGGGTTTCATAAATCGTTTGAATCCTTAGCTACTCAGCCAAGATGTTGAAAATGTGGAGTGTTTTATGCCAAAAATTTCAAAATAATCTATTTTCTAATAATCCAAAAAAGCTTCCAGAAACTCCGCGAACTTCTCCAAAAAACCGGTGGCGACCTCATACGAAAATACCAAGTCGAAGAAACCCTCCGAGCCTTCCGCATCCTTCATCAACCCATTCACCTTATGTTCATTTTCCATTTCCTTTACAGTTCCGTCTCATTTTTTGTCCTGTATTTCAATCCGTATTTCTCGAGACCCTTGTACTTTTTCCTGATGGAAGCTAACATCTACCTTCCGGAATATTCTCTAGCGTTTGTTATCACTTTTATCAGAATGGAGAACCGGGTCAGTGATAATAGCTCGCAGGGGCTGAGGAAGAGTATCGAAATTGATACTGCAGTGTATTTTGAGAATTATCAAAAGGATTGGAATTGATAATGTTTTTCTTGGGAACGTCTGTTGGACTTTCGTTAAGACTTAAAAGTGATTTTGCACATAACAACTGCTTGAGACCTAAATAAATTATCAAAGTTTTAGATCGAATTTTGAGATTTTCTTTTTTGAAAGCCGTCTCATACGTAATTATGTATTTTGATTTAACTCATCCAGCTTTCACAGCAATCCACTGAAATTAAAACAAATGTTCTAATTCAACCCTGAGCTCAGTTATCTCAATTTTGATAAGAAATATCAAAAACCTGCGAACTACAAAGATGCCGCAAAGATTATGACAAACATTTTATCAGTTGACAGATTTGTTAAATCTCATAAGAAGAGATAATTGCGCTTAAACTTGGGTGCAGGGATGGCATTCGTAGTAGCAAAACGAAAACAGTAATCCAAGACAGAGTGCTAGTATAATGTGGGAGTCTATTAGAGCATTTACTGGGTATCCAAAATAGGATTTTTACTGCAAAAACTACAATCACTGGGGAGATTGAGCGTATGGGATAATTATTAGGGACATCACGAATTTACCGACTACGTCACATGGGGCGTCCTTGTCAAGAGGTGGCGTAGCTAGCGCTTGCAATCGCGTAGCTAAACTAGTAGTTGTAGTAGGAACTGTAGGAGCTCGAATAGTTATCGTTACAAATCATTCAAATCTGAAATGATAAATATGGAACAGTAATATTTTGAAAATATCATATCTTCATGGAAAATTTGAAAAGTTTCAACCTGTAATCTGACCGCGCCATAAATTAAAAAACATTTTTTTTGGAATTAATCGATTGGATAAATCATCCTTATTCTTGACAAGTATAACATTTCGGAAAATTTAAAGAAGGGGCATTTGCTTTATTAGAACGGTCGACACTCATCCAAGTCAAGCTGTACACCGTCACGTCCAGATGCGTAACTCCAAAAAAATCTTCGTCTCCCCTCCTTCAATAATAATCAAAGAAAGCTTCCAGAAACTCCGTGAACATCTTCAAAAAACCGGCGGCGACCTCATCCGAAAGTACCAAGTTGAAGAACCCCTCCGAGCCTTCCGTATCCTTCATGAACCCATTCATCTCATGTTCATTTTCCAATTCCTCTACAGTTCCGTTTCATTTTTTGTCCTTTACTTCAATCCGTATTCCTCGAGGCCCTTGTACTTTTTTTCTGATTGAAGCCAACAATTACCTTCCAGAATATTCTCTAGTGTTCGTTATCACTTTTATCAAAATGGAAAATCGTGTGAGTGATAATAGTTCGCAGGGGTTGCGGAAGAGTAATGAGATCGATACAGCTGTGTACTTTGAGAACTATCAGAAGGATTGGAATTAAGTTTGTTTTTGGGAGGATGAGATTGAAGTCTCACTAAACTTAATAAATTATTTTGCTTATAACAACTACTTGAAACATGAATAAATGAAATTGGTGTCCTTGTTTTACAGATTTTTAAAAAACATTTTAATAAAGTATAGATTCTCCCAGGGCATTGGAATTGATTTAAATGAATCAGAACAACATTTAAATGTCGAATTCGAAACACTAAAAATACTTGAACCATTTTGTCATTGTCTGGACGCATTAAGTGACGTAGCCAATTTTAGTTTGAAATTTGAAAGAGCAATAAGCCAAAAAACGTATTGTGATCTGTCAACTATTTTTGAATTTAAAAAAAACGATTTTTGATGGATTTCAAAGGATCATTGATTATCAGCTCTGTTAACATGTGAAAATCATTATTTAAAGTCACCAAAATGACCAGACAGACTCGAAATTCGAATAGATGTCTAGGAATTTGATCAAAAAAAGCAAAAGATAATTTCAAAAGAGGGAATCGAACCACAGACCTTTAGCTTATAACACGCGCCCACAACCACCCGGCCACCTCAACGCTGGGAAAAACAGTGCGTAAGTGTGTACATGTCAACGGTGTTTCCGGAAGTTCCCGGGAGGCGAAATAACGGAGAAAAATGAGGTTTACAATGGTTAAGAAATTGGAAACTTTCAGACAAAAATTTTCAGCATTTTTGGAAAAAGTGCATATACAGATTTTGACAGGGGCTTTTTGAGCGTGTCAACTAACCCCTGTCAAAAAATAAGAAAATTCTGAAAGCCTTTCTAAAACGACCTCCCTTGTTAGTTAACACTAACGCGCATTACTTTTTTTACCAACCTAATAGGAGCCCACCCTATAAATGTCATTTGTGCTCAATCATCTCTGTTCCTTCAAAAGGTAGAAAACATTTTCAACTGATTATCTTAATAAAACAAATTTTTTAATAGTCGACAGACTTTTGATATCTTTCATGGGAATCGAGATAATTGAGCTGCGCCGAAATTCCAATATGTATTTTGAAAAAAAAGAGACTATTAAAGGTGGGGGGACATGAAAAAATAATGTTCTCGAAATTCCGTTCAAAGATGCCCCTCGAGAAGTTGAACTTGTGAGGGCGATGATTGAGGGCGCGGCGCCTCTACCGACTGAGCTACGCGGGCAAAGAGAAAGCGCACGCCCGATTGCATACATAAAGGCGAAGACGACAGCTGTACGGAGAGTGACATCAAGCATTGTACACCGTGACGGTAGAATGCATACTCTAGCTACAAAAAAAAAACTACGAAAAATCTCCTGTCCCCCCACTTTTAAAAAGTTTCAAGTATCATTTGAGCGAGAAAAATTGGTTTTTCACATTTTAAAAACTGTTTCAGACTTTTTGAATTATTTAATTTGAACACTAGCCGAAAAAAATGAGTTCATGAAACCGAAAAACTTAAAACAAAAGACTCAATTGTAAAAACTAATTTTCCTCATCTGTTTTCCATTATTTTTTTCATAATTTACTTCTAATCATATGCGATTTAGTTTCAACTTGGTTATAGAAAAATCAGTTTTTTGAAACACTTTAAGCTCATAAAATGAAAACATGAAATAGTAAAAATTATAAAAATTCCATTGATTGAATCCTGACGCATTGGCAGAACTGATATTGATTTTCAAATACAATCTTTAATTTTCCATGAATGAGGGGAAACAGTTTTTTCATGTCTCCCCTCCTTTGAAAAGTGTTCCTGAAAATTCCTCGCTTTTAATTTTGGTCATCCTTCTCGCACCTGTCCAACCTTAATGAACTCAATAAGCTTGTCCCACGAATCAAATTAAATTGTCTCATTTTTCACATAATCTTATGAAATCATAAGAACAGCCAAAAAGGGAAAAATAATACAAATATCATTGTATGACAAGGAGCTAACAGCTATTTGTCTCTTTTTTTGTGTCTCCTAGTTCCTAGATAATTGTCTAGAATTATGGAGGGAATGCGTCTGCTCTGAGCGAAATCAGAGGTATAAAAAGGTGGTAAATAGAACTTTGATTGTTCTTTTCTGTCACCTTATCGAATCCGTGATTTTATTGCTCGATTTATCACTTTTTAGCGACCTAGCTGACGTTTTAGCAACCTAACGTTTCAGAACCGGACACTTCGCAACCGGACAATCTAGAACGGTGAGTTCTGAAACGTCCAGTTGCAAAATGATCACCTCGATAGTTTCCACAGACATCAGTGAAAAATGTTTTGACAGTTTTTTGACCAAATTTTTTGAAAAATTTTACAGTTTCATGAGTCCACTAAACTTTCTGAATATGTTTTCATTATTGGTGTCGTAATTTTCGTGTGTGCTAAATATTTCCTTGCTTTATGAGTTCCATGAGCTACAAAAACTTTTTAGGACTAAACCTTCAAATTTAATGAAAAAAGAATGATAATCTGATTTCTAATCATCTGTCATTCTCATTTTTTCACGAGTGCACGAAGTTGCTTTGTTTAGGATCAAAGTTCAACAATTTGATCAGTTACTCATTTCTAAAACTTCCAGAAACAACTTTTCTATAGCTTTCTAACTAGGTCACCCTCCTCAAAGTTCATTCATAAAAATTCCAATAACTTGATTTCCCCCGTAATCAGCTGTCTATAGAAAAACGAGAGTCATAAGGGAAATCAAGTTAACTTTTGTCGTTTGGCCTATTTTTTCCTTCTGAATCATTTTTTTTGCCCTTTGAAGATTTCTCTACTTTTTTATTTCAATATTTCAACGATTCCAGATTCCAAGGTTCCAATTCCAGAAATTCTTCAAAATGAACCTGTCAAACTGTGATCTTATGAGAGATATCGCCCAATTCCCTCCATTATCTCTTCTTTTACTATCCTTTTTAATTATCTCAATTATACTACTTCCATTGATGGGATGGCTAATTATGCGCATCGCCAAAAATCCGTTGTACCACTTGAACACTCGAATTTTGTTAATTATACATTGTGGAGGCATTTTTGTGCACTGTTTGGATCGGTTCGTTTACAGATGATGTATACGAGCAATTAATAGAATCATTTAAATTTTATGATAATCTGGAAACGGTGAAACTGGAAGTCTTAATGTTGGAAAAAAAGTTTCCGACCGAAAAATTGAAAAATAACAGTTTCAAATTCATGTTATCTCAAAAAAAAAGAAGACACATACAATATTATTTCAGGTTGTTCCTTCACTCCTCGGATCTTTATAACTGGCATGTTGCTATGTATAAAACATCATCTTGTGATATTATTTCAACTAGTGAGAGGTAAGATTTTGAACACCAGAAAAGCGTCAAGGAACTAAAAATGTATCAGCAAACTGAAAACACACAGAACCGGAATAGCCCCAATTCACTTAAAATGCGTCAATGTACTAGAAATGGTAACAACAATTGACAAAATATATTAATTTACCACAGAAGATTACCACGAAAATTCGTTTTCACTAATATTTACAGTTTCAAAACATTCATTTCCTCCCATTACTTACCATTAAGCTTACTGTGATTCGTTTCATGGAGTTCCCATAATCTCAAAACTTCCAGATGTTTTGGTCTCCGTCTATTCCTAAACATTGGAATGTTTGTTGCAATTTACACAATGCCCACACTGGTAGTTGAAAGGTGTATAGCGACAAGCCGAGTAGCTACGTATCAGACAAATCGAACAGCATGGACATGGTTGTTAATGCTACAGGTATTTAAGTGTGTTAAAAATAGTGAAATTACTTTTTGATAAACGTACAAATATTCCTACAATACAACTAAAAACTTCTTGAAACTGTTAAAAAATTTTAATCATAACTTTTAAGAAAATATATTTACTCCATTTTTGAAGTTATGAAACATCAATAACTGATTTCATGATGTTCTTGAAACCGAAAAAGGAAAACTCAAAAACTTCTTATTTTTCAGACATGTTTAGCCACCTGGTTCCTCGGACTCATTTATTCGCAAACCACATTTGGAGGCACAACAGTTTATTGCATTGCCGCAAGGGAAGGTTAGTAGAGTCAAAAATTATAGAATGCGTAGCTCAGAAGGTACCCCAATATTGGCCTTAAAAGTATGACTTCTTGAGAGGTTCTTACATATTTTGTGTTTTTCATATTCCCATACAAACTTAGTAACGGAGTAAAAAGTATAGCATACGGAATAGAAACAATAACACATTTCAGAACATCTATGCAGTACTGAAAACAGTGAAAAAAGATCCTACTGGTATTTTTTTCAATCCAGAAACTTATCAAGTACAATATAGAAAAATCCCTAAAAGTACTATTTCAAAAGCTGAGATTCTTTCTCATCAGTTTAATTTCCAGCGGTACCATTCAACATGCTCTTGGCGTTCTCCATGTCAATTATCGTGCAAACAGTTTCATATTCTGGATTCCGCTATTTGGTTTACAAGAATAAGGCTGGTTTCTTTCTCTTTTAGTTTTTCAATTTTTATCGATGAGATGCCGTAAAACCTGTAACAGAAGCTCTCTCACACAATGTCAAGTTTGAGACCATTTATCTCATTTCCTGTAAAAAATATCAAAAAGCTGTCAACTGATAAAACATTGACGATACTATGATAAACAACTTATCAATTTACAACTTTTTTATATCTTCGACAGGAACCGAGATAAGCTAGGTCAAAGTTTAAAGGTTGGGCCCTTCTATTAGAGGTTTTGCGGTTTCCTGAAAAACTTGAAAAATTCCAGAAACTAAAATTCCATCTTCAAAACCGTGGCTCCGCTCTCACCAAACGATACCAAGTGGAAGAGTCGCTTCGTTCATTGGAAACGATTTCCCTTCCAATCCACATGATGTACATTTTCGAAGTGTTTCATAGTCTTTCCTCATTCTTATTTCTCAACTTTAATGCACTTATGACAAGGCCCTGGTATTATTTTTGGATGGAGTTGTCTGCATGTCTTCCGGAGTATGCTTTGGCATTTTTCATTGCATTCGTTCTGCAGGAAAAGAAGTTGCAGAGGAAGGTGAGGATTGAGGATTACTGTAGCATTGATTGATTTTTTAACTATTCAGGGAAGGAATTCGCTGCGGAAGGAAATGGAAGTGAATCCGGACAACTACTTCGATCAGTACAAAAAGGTTTGGACAAGTGGACAATCTTAATTATAAGCCTCCTGAAAGTACTAATGCTCCAAAGCCTTTATCTCTTTATCTAACCTGCTCTAAAAATTGAAAGGAAAACGACTTTGTTTTTCTTGTTTTATTACAGTAATCTAAAACTTCTTATGCCTCCAAGATTTTTGAAATTGAACAAAAAAGACCGGAGTATTATAAAAAATTTATTTATGCTGATGTGCTTAATAAACTAGTCACTTAGAAATTGATTTCCTGAGAGAAGAGAGGGGTGTATGGTCCATACTGAACCACCCCTCTCTCGAAATGCTCCATAGCTTCTTCCTGGTAGCAGATGTTGGTGTGCTGTTCGCGGCGACGTTGAATTCTTGCCATTTGGCGCCGTCTGTAGATCTCCATGGCTTGTCGGGTTGGCAACAATGGAAGAGCCTTCTGAAAAAAGTTTGGTTTAGTTGAATAGGTTTTTTCAATATATCATTTGATGGTTAAGTACTCTTATCATTGTCTTCAGCCATTATGAAAGAAAACTACCGTAAAGCCTCTGAAACAATGCTTCTAAACCGTTAATTTTCAACTCAATTACATCGATTCCTGTCTAAGATATCGAAATTTGTCAACTGATAAAGCATTCAACATAATTTCACAAACATGTTATTAGGGCAACGTTTTTGTATCTATCAAAGAAACCGAGGTAAATAGATTCTAAGTTGAACGTTAAGGGTCTAGGTTAAATGGTTTCTAGTTTTCCACTAACCAGCTATAACTAACTATACAAGGGAATATAAAGAACTGTAACCAACTATAGTAAATACTATGATCTTCAAAAAAATCTTGCCTTGGCTCGGCTCTCCAACGCCGATTTGACGATTGGCTCCTCGAAGTAGTCATGATCCCTGAGAGTCATGTTCTTCATTTTTGAGATGTTGGTGGCGGCGGCATCTTGTTTGCATTGCTTTTGGTCCTTGATGGTCCTTCGGTCAGCGTCCAAATCACAACTGCAAACTGCTTCGCGATGCCCAAGTGAAGATACCTGAACTCTTGTTTTTGGAAACTCACAAGGAATTTCCTCAAACAAGCAATCCTCCGGAAGAAGGTCATCGGCTGGACGAAGAACTCTTTTTTCTAAAAATAGTCTCATATAGCAAATCTGTCAGTTTGAAAACTATTCAAAACTAGTTGACAACTAAGAGGAAACAATTCACAAACCTTCTGAAATGCCTTTAGGAGATGTTTGTTGACTCGACATGATATGGTAGCGTGCTTGCTGTTGAACGCTTTAAGTTGAGCTTATCTGTAAAACACGAAAATTTAAAAGACAATCAGATGAAGCAATGTTAGTATAACAGGATACACAAAAGTTTTTCAGTGAAAGATTTAGTGGGACATGAAGAAGTTCCAGATCTCTAATTCCCTTATTACGGCATAACCTGTAATAGAAGGACTCCCACACTATCAAGTTTGAGCTCAATTATCTCAATTCCTATGCGAAACATCAAAAATCTGTTAACTGGTAAATCGTTTGTCTTTATAACACAAACATTTTATTAGTTGTCAAATGTTATATCTTCTGATGAAACCGAGAAAATCAGAGACAAAGTTAAAAGTGAGAGGGGTCTTTCTATTACAGGTTTTACAGTAGTATCACCTCCTTGTAACATGACATAACAGGGCCACCCACACTGTGTTAAGCTCAAGCTCAAGTATCTCAGTTTCTGTCAAAGATATTAAAAAATTTTAACTGATAAAATGTTGATCATATCCACATTTCATCAGTTAACAAAACTTTGGTGTCTCTTATAACAACTAAGATTATTGAGCTCAAATCAAAAGTTAAAAAGCCCTTCTACTAGAGGTATTTCGGTGGTATCACCTCCTTGTAACATAGCACAAAGAAGGATAAGAGAAGCTAGAGTAAGAACGAACCATCTAATGAGACTTGAAAACGGGTAGGGCACTGGCGGGCCCTTCCATTGCGTCTTTTAGAATCAATACCTCGTGAACTAGTTTTTATATGATACAACTCGACAAGCAATACAGAATAATACTATTTGGAAAATAATACCCTGTCTGTGAACTAAGTTACATTCTATAAGACTGCCCATCCGTTCCGAGCCGGGCCCAGTCTGTGTCGTCGACTCGCCATAACTTCGTTCATAAACATGATACAGTTTTCCGAGTATTATCATTTCGTAGTACTCGTCGAGTTCTGCCGTATCTAATTTATAATTGGTCAAAACATATTGGTTCTAAAAGGAACTATAATAAAGCCCGTCAGGGCCCGGATATGGCCGGTTTTCATTCTTACATCTGACTAACTAGGAACGTTTTACCAAAACCAAGCACCGTACCAAGCTTTACGGAAGGGCACCTGAAAAAAGAGCTGCAGTAGAAATTCTGCTGCTTCATAAGATCCACAAATCGCTTAATAGACAAAATCGCTTAATAGACAAAAGCTAGACAAATCGCTTAACAATGCTTAAACGGTACGGCTAGTTGGCGAGCGTCAAAAATAGGGTCTTTCCGTGATTAAATAGCTGCGATAACAGAAGAAGAACAGTTTTCTGGAAAATGAGAGAAAATTGGTGAAAGATACGTACTTATTAGAAGAGAAATGAAAGAAGTAACCTAGATTCTTATATACGTCTTATTTATCGTGATAAAAGAGATGCAGGCATAAAGAGTCTCTAACGCATTATTAGGGACAAATCAATAATTCTAAGGTTAAAAAAACGATCTAAAAGGAAGAGTGACGACCTAAAAGAAAGAGGGACGATCACAACTAAATGAAAGAAACTAAGTGAGTGAGGCAAATGACTGGCCTTTGTGGTCCGCCTGACTGCGCGGAATGTGGATAAGCGCGCAACTGAATTGGTCATTGCGCGTCGTTGTGTTTGCGTACGCAATCTGAATCAGAATATTCTAGAAAACGCTAAAATGTGTCGTCAAATACATGACATCACAGTAGTCATGACATTGCGGATAGAATGCGATGGCTCATTTTTGCTGTAGTGGAGTTCACCTACTGATATGAAACTAAATTCTTTGTGTTTCATCCTTAACAAATTGAATGTTAGCCTTATATAGCATTCATTCACACATCACATCAATTCTTGAAACATTCTTTCTCTCGCATTTTTATCAAATTTGCATAACAATGTGAACATTTCAAGTTAACCCAAAAGATAAGTGTTAAGCTTTTTCGCTTCACCTCATTTTGAAAAAAAACATGATATTGAAACTTTCCTTTCTAGCTTTCATTTTTCTATCCTCAATTTTGCCCCCAATTCTTGGAGACAAACCTGAAAATGCCCCTAATTGCACCAAGGACCCAGCTATTCAGCCACTTTTGGATAATCCAGACTTGGGACTTGGAGGCAAAGTCATTTTGGATCCGGAAGTTTCTACAACAACAACTGGAGAGTTGGAGTCAAGCACAGAGACATCTGAAAGTGAGTAAAACTCATTTTTTACTTTACTGAAGTTAAAACAGTGAAATTATTTGGTTTTCCAGTGTCTACAACATCAATTGGACCTTCTGAGCCATCAACAAACATTGCCACGTCATCCGATCAGACTACACCATCTTCGGAAGGTGAGTTTAGGATATTTGTAAGCAACAAATCGAGCAACAACTAGCACTGTTAATAAGAAATACAACCTGAATGAAACAGTGGCAAAGTTTTGTTCTAAAATAAATGCATTTTGCGTTTTAAGAACTCTTACATTTATCAGAAAAGTCCGTTGATAAAAATAAGGGTCCTGTGGCTCTCAAAGGGGTTAAAAATGTTCTTTAGTCTGAAGAATAGTTCATTGGGAAATACTAAGGTTAATTTCGAACTTCACAGGACCTCTTTCTTGTTAACAAACTATTTTGTAACTCAAAGAACCTTTATTTCAGCTACAAGGACCTTAAAAAGAGTGACAAACCTTTTTAAGACCGTTTTTTCGAAGCAGAATCGAAATTTCCAGACCAACCAACTCCAGTGAGCTCTTCTAAATCTCCCTCTGCTTCACAAACAACAGCATTTCCAACTTCTGAAGGGAACGGTAAAATTATTCACTGGCAAATGATGTAATTTTTTCTAGATCCTCCAACTACAGTGACTGTTTCCGAGTCCTCCAAAACGACGTCTGTGAGAAATGGTAACATTTTGAAGCGTTCGTCTTATATGAAAAAAAGTAATTCACATTTCAGATCAACCAACTTCCATGACGTCATCTGAACTGTCCTCTACGACTTCTGAACCTGCTGAAGCGTCTGTACAAACTACAACTCCTTCGATAGGAAACGGTAAGATTCAGGAACCATTAAACTCTGTAGCTCCTTTTTACAGAATCTTCAGCTTCCACAGCTCCATCTTCTTCAGAATCCTCAACTCTTGAATATCAGCCTACAGAATCCACTACTCTCCAAGAAAATGAGCTAACCTCAACGTCCCCTGAACCTACTTTAGGTCCAACGACTGCAAGAAATGGTAAGAATCCCCAGTTATCCGACCATTTAGCTCATTTTTTTCAGAATCCCCAACTTCTGAATCCGAGCCATCAGAATCCACAACAATCCAGACCATCATCTCCTCCACCCCTGTCTCCTGCTCCGATGCCCTGTGTTCTATTCAGAATATGCTCCAGC